CGAAGACTAAAGTGAAGGCTCAATTCCAAACGTGAGAATTATAAGGTACTTAAATCGCTTCGGATTTTCTCTATGTTTTATGAGCTTACTTTTCAAATCAAAACGATTTTGACATTGGTTCGGATATTGTTATGGTTAACGTTTGAAGAATGATTTGTTCATTGAAGCATATTCAACTTCCCGAGAATACACTTAGCAAAATTGTTTGCTAAGAGGAAACTGAGATCAGAATCAGTTATTGTTGAAACAACATAATCCGAGTCAGCAGTAAAAGAATTGTCCTTGTAAGCCGACTTGAATCTTGAAGTAAAAATCTGTTTCGATGATCCGAGGAATTTGAGGCAAAGCTGAAGTCTGAGGCTACTTTCACTATAAATTTCTCTTTATCTCAATCTCTTTAAATTATTTATTTAATTGTTTTCTTTTATTTAATTATTATCTTTTATTTTAAAAACAATTTTTAAAAATCTCCTTTTATATTAATTACTATTAATATTTATTATTTTATTATTTTTCCTTTTTTATAATTATTTATTTTATTGTACATTTTCTACTTTACCTGAAATTCTATCTTTTCCTAAAATCAAGAAACAGTTTTATTAAATCAAAAAAACCATAGTCCTGGTGGATCGACCCTGCTTCCCTATAATATTTTAAGAAGTCAGAATTATTTTGATAGCAAAACGACGGTTATCATAAGTCAAGAAAATGGATTGAAAATTTTATAACATCTTCAAATAATCTACCCAAATGAGCATGACCATTATACATAACTGGCGCTTTACTCAACTGTTATAATAAGTCAAAACAAAATTAAGAAATTTATATTTAAAAACTACACAAATTCTATTAGTTCTTATAAATGAATAAAGAAATTACAATATTTTCTGTAATATTCTTACGTATTTCATTGACGCCAAGAGAGTCTAAAATGCAATTATGTCCCTCCACAACATCAACAACTAATAAAAACTAAAGATTACCTTGTATATCATGTAAAGACACATATACCTGCAAAATAATGTGAGTTAAAAATACAAGCAACTACATACAAGCAAAAAACAAATTATAAATATACATGTTCAACATTACTACTATCAATACGCATAAAGTCATCTATCCATCGGGTATGAAATTTGACAATGCTATAACTTTTTCTCATCTTCTGACCATTTGTGTAATCCGTAAGGATATTATGAAGAAACATTAAATTAGAAAATGTTATTAACATATATACCCACAAAATAATGTGATCCCTAGTTCATAATTTTTTTTACCTGAAAGGATACAGGCAGAAATAACTTCTTTCGCATAGGTTCTTCTCTTAAGTACAAATTGAATAGATAGAGTTCGATAAACTATGAAATATTTAAAAACAATACAAACACTTGTATTAATAATGGTCAAAATAATAAATATTGACCATGTAAAATATTTATTAATTTAATCTATAATACTCAATCAGATAACCACTTCTATGGAAAAACACTGCGAACATTGGCAACGTCCAACATATTATTCTTAACCATGTAAATAGCGTTTGATGTATTATTCCAAGTAGCAACATTCGTACAAATTCTGCGTTCTTCGGCCGTTAAGAACTCCAAATATTGCTTGTACACATCACTTATTGTATCCATTTTTTTAAATCTTTTACTAATACATCACCAACCTCGTATTTATATTGCATGAAAAACATTTAACTCATAAAAATATTTCTACTGCATTAAAATAAACATGAAATATAACCAATAAAGAATGATGAGGTATGCATACCTTGGTATGCACTTTAGATGTTCTAACTCTTTTTTTCGATGTCATATCTTGCAATTTCGAGTCATCAGCAAAATCAATACATGCAGTTGAACATCTCACACACTTATTCTGTTGGGAGACTTTAATCTTTGACAAAGCTTTAGGACCGTTTGATATTTTCGGCTCCATTTTTTTAATTATTGGAGTATCCTTCAATGTAACTAATTAACTAGGAAATTGATTGGCACTAAATTGAAAGTTAAAAACTTCAACCGGAATTTTTGGAAAACCATCACTATCAGTCTTGATGTTGTCTTCAAAATTAACTTGAAGTTTTCTTTAGCCCGTAGGTTCTAATAAGGGAGAAGAATAATCACAATCACAATTAATAAATGGAGACGGACTCAGTTTTTTAATACCACTCTCGATTTCTTCCTTCAATGATACGACACCTAATTCTTCTTTCATATGTGATTTATTCTCTAAACTATCATCTTTCAATGAAACGCTATAAAAATTTGTCTCTTTTGCTCTATTATTTAAAGCGTCCTCCTTTAATGAACTTTTCATATTACTATGTGTTAATATGCTCACTAATTTTTTAAGTTGGCCATTCAATTTTTTAAATTGACCTTTTAATTCTTTAATTTGACCATTTATTATAGAAAAATAATTTTCAATATTTTGGACCGAATTAATGAGTGCCTCGAACTTGTGATCACTTTGATAAAGAGTTCTTATATTTTTCTTGATGTACAACTTCATATTTTTACTATATGCACATAAAGTAAATAAATAAATAAATATTACATAATATATATCGACAAAAAATCATCACTCCCTTTCAATCATTCAATCAAAAGAGATAAGAGTCACTGAGTCAGAAATGATTAATTAAGTAAGAAAGAATAAGAAAAAAGTTTTTATAGAGCATGCATATCAATATTCATGGATCATACCTTTTATGCCACTTCTCATTCCTAATTTACAAAAAAAATCCATTAATCCATTTAATATACATTTAATCATTGGATTTATTTCAATTTTTTTTCTAAATTATTTGTATTGTACCCACTACTATCAACCAAGGGATGTTCCATTGATTCTCCTATATAAGTCGCAGCTAAAGTTGCAAAAATAAGAGCTTGAATCCCACTTGTAAATAATCCAAGAAACATGACAGATATAGGAACGACTGAAGGTACTAAAGAAACAAGAACAACAACTACTAATTCATCAGCTAATATATTCCCAAAAATTCGAAAATTAAGTGATAAGGATTTAAAATTGGTACAGACACTGCTCTTAAGTAGTGCTAGAGCATCTCGGTTCAAGTCCGATCTCATGGTTATTGAAAACGAATCAAATCAGATTGTTCTATTTCTCAATCTTTCTAACTTGCTCCTACGGAACCAAGGTCGAAAAGATTGAGAAAAATTAGTCATTCACAACCATTGATGAAGGTTTCCTCGAAAAGTTAAGGATTAGTAATCCGTTTTAGAAATCGAATGAGTTCGATCTTATATATACGCGAGGAAGGTAATAAAAAAAACAAGTTCTTATATACGCGAGGAAGGTAATAAAAAAAACAAGTTCTTCTTTACTTTTATCACTTGGGAGTTCAACCTATTTCAAATATACAACATGGTTCTGGCAATGCAATGGAGTTGGGCTTTCATGCGGATTCGAATGAATGATCTTTTCCACGGAGGTAAATCCTTGTCCACTAGGTAAGAGAATAACAAGTTACAAATTCTGTTTCGGTAGCACATTTATTCGAACAACCCAAAATTCAGCTATTTCAAATACATTAAATGATCTTTCAAATTGGTTAAGACAACCAAGACTCTCCAGTTTATGGCCACTTCTTTATGGTACGAGTTGTTGCTTTATTGAATTTGCTTAAATTTCAGTTAATTATAATGCACATACCTCATTTTTTGTCTTCTACGAATTCATATTGATAAGACGCTTACACTCCATCATCTTAAGTTGTTTTGAAGGTGTTAAGTTTAGATTCATCATCTACGTGAAAAAGATAAAATCTAAGCCTGCACACTTAACATAACACAAAGCACGAAAAAACTACCAGTACTGATACTCTTATATGGAGTATCGGTATGCGTATTCAATACCAAAATAGTGTACATATATCGTACCAATACGCATAGGGTACCGATATTGACATGCCTGTATACTGATACGAACGAACCAGTGTACCGGTACGAAAGGTGGGACAATAATCGGGAAATTGATATTGGATTTACCAAATATGACACAAATGTAAAAATTAGGGTTCAATTGTTCTAATTTGAGTTGTAATTTAGTAAATATGATACTTAATTTGATTATTAGGGTTTTCTAATTACACTAAGAGTTAGGGATCATTAATAAAACTTACTTTAGGGATTGATTGCACTAGTGATGGTTGCGGTAAAGACGGCAGTGACATCGACGACATCGGTGACTGTGACTTAAAAGATATTGAAATAAATTAGGGTTTATAAATTTCCCAAATTTATATTTGAATTAATTTGATTAAAAAAATTATAAAAAGTTATTTTTTAGAATTATTGTATTTTAATTAAATTACACTTTAATTTTTAACTAAATTATAATTATACTTTGAGTACTTTATGATTGAATGATTTTATAATTTAATTTAAGGTGATCATCGCTTACCGTGCTCGTCAACACTCAACGAGCGTTGTAGAAATTTTCTCTAGATTAAGTTTAAATATATATAGTTACTATATTTTAAAATTTTAAAATAGATATAAATTATGTTAGATAAATATTTTATTATAATCATATCAACCCATCCAATTTAAATTTTTCTGTATTCGCTACTGTTAACGTAGTGTTATCCAATTGGTTTATATAATTTTTTTTAAAAAAAATCTAATTATTTAGATTTTTCGATATTTAAATACGTATATCCATCGATTTAAATCTGTACTGATTTTTCTCTAAATCATTCATAATTTCACGAACAAAAGACCTCTAATCACTCACAAGGGATACATAAAAAAGCTAAATTTAGGACAAAAGGCGACGAAACTTTAAGCGACGAAACTACATTTTTCCCGACAATTTAGTCCTTCCCCATGGTAAAACTTGAGGCAAGAGTTGTTCTTCTTCAATGGCTAAAATATTATAAAGAATCAATCAGCACTTTCCACCAATTAATCTGTTTCTTTATTAGGAAAAAAAGAGAAATTTGTAGCTTAGTTGGGGTGACATCGATGGCATTCGTAACTAGAACTCGAATAACCGCGGTTCTTCTCTTGTGCTTAGTGATTTGCGACGGTTGCGAAGGTGGACGTCCGTTCGATGAGGGCAATGAGGGCGGTGCTTCTAAAAAATCAAATAAAAGTAAATATAAAAGTAAAGATGTTGGTGCTGATAAGGTAGATGATGCTTCGGATAAAAGTAAAGATGTTGGCGATGATAAGGTAGACGACGTTTCAACTAAAAGTAAAGATGTTGATGTTGATAAAGTAGACGATGCTTCGAATAAAACTAAAGATGTTGATGCCGGTAAAGTAGGGGATGGTTTAGATAAAACTAAAGATGTTGGTGTTGGTAAAGTAGGGTCCGATGTCAAAAGTTTTAATGTGTTAGACTACGGTGCAAAAGCCGACGGAAAGACGGATAGTTCGATTGTATGTTTCGGTTTTACACTCTTGTTTCTTGTTCCATGAGTATGTCATGGTGGTGGTGTTTGATTGAGTTTGTGATTTGTTGCAGAATTTCATTAGGACCTTCAAAGCTGCATGCAATTTCCGTGGGGATGCAATGATGGTGATCCCTAAAGGGAACTTCTTAATAGGACCGGTCCTATTTTCCGGCCCCTGCTTCAATCCATCTCCTCTAATTGTTCAAGCCGAAGGGATGGTGAAGGCGCAATCCGACATTTCGTATTTCACCGGCGGAGCCGACAATACAGATTGGATCACATTTCAGTCCTTGAAGAACGGAGTGATTCTAACAGGTGATGGTACGTTCCACGGACAAGGAGCTTTGACGTGGAAATACAACGACTGTGCCCATAAGTCGAAATGCGTCCGACTGCCCTCCGTAAGCTTCGAATTGCCACCCTAATATTAGATTGACATACACTGAAGAACTTTTAACAATTCTTTGGTTCATGGAATCAAAATGCAGAATATGAAGTTCGTCAGGGTGAATGATACGATCATCCGCGGGATAAAGTCTGTCGATGCGAAAGGGTTCCATATTTTTGTCACCGTTAGCTCAAACGTTAAGATTTACAACGTTAACGTGCAAGCCCCCGGAAATAGTCCCAACACTGACGGCATCCACATTAGCAAATCCAACAAGATAGAAATATCTGAAAGTGTCATCGCCACTGGCGACGACTGCGTCTCGATAATCCACGGAACCAGCGAAATCAGCATCAAGAATGTAACGTGCGGACCTGGACATGGCTTCAGGTACATAAATTTACACTTCCTTTTTCGTTTCCACAAGCTCAAACATGAAACGTTCCGCTCATCCGTCGATCTTCGACAGCATCGGTAGTCTAGGCCATTACGACGACGAGGCCGACGTTAGCCAGATCTCCGTGACGAACAGCACTCTAAAGGGAACAACGAACGGAGCTCGAATCAAAACGTATAAAACTGATTCGCCGAGTAAAGCATCGAATATCTTTTTCAAGGACCTGATCCTGGAAAACGTAGCAAACCCGATTATCATAGACCAAGAATACGGAAACAGGGCCATTGCTCAGGTAATTCAAGATTTTCTTCCCTCCCAAATATTGAACAAGCATCAATTTATCCCTATGAACCCTAAACTAAATCGAGCTTGTTGGCTTCGGCTTTGGTTTTCCGATCGCTATCAGGCATCGAGAGTGAGCATTAGCGACGTTCTCTTCGAAAACATCAGGGGAACTTCGGTGAGCAAAATTGCAGTGCAATTGCTTTGCAGTAAAGTAAATCCTTGCAGTGGCGTTGAGATAAAGAATGTGAAGTTGGAGTACTCTGGCCGGCCAAATGATCCCCGGCCATTCAGTTCTAACTGCACCAACGCCAAAGTCATCTACGCCGGGACTCAAAGCCCTCCGCCGTGCAGTTAGTGGTGGCGCGTGGCATTCAATATCTCAATGTTTTTTTTTTTCTGAGATAGAAGGCAGTGGATGTAGTAGTGTACAAAAGTGAAAGTACATGTTAACCAATTGAGTTAGGCTTAGGACGCATTGAAAACATATAATCTTCGATTGCGTTTTAGTCCGATTGGTATAGTTATTGTTACGACATTTAAAATATATAGATTTATTATAAGATCCTCATTTTTTTAAGGATTTTGAGGTTATAATTAGATATTTTTGTATATAAAAAAGTTAATTCTTTTAAATAACTTTTGTCACTTGATAGAAAATTTTGGGAAAAAAAATTTGAATGAGATAGGTACCTAGTAAGTTATTTCTCATACATGTTCAATTTAAAATTTCCATTAATTTCATTATATTTTAGTCAGTAAGTTAATATTCAGCGTAAATGACAATCAGTTTTTCAATGAAAAATGATTAGTTTGGAACATACGAATGATCGGGTGACCATTTTATAACTTTTAAAAGTCAGGGGACTCAACAAAATAACACTTTATAGACAAGAGATCATTTCGTAATTTTTAATTATCGAATGACTCAATAAAAGAACATCCTAATTGAGGGATCATTTTATATTTTTTTTAATAAACGAGAGACTCAACAAAGTAACGTCTTATAAATAAAATAAATTAGAGTGATTAAAACACGAGCAATTTAAAAGTTGAATGGTTAATTTAAAAAAATTTAAACTTTAGCAACCAAAATAAGAGTGAGAAAATAGTTGAGTGATGAATTATGTAATTTACTCATAAAAAATACAGGATCTCTTGCTTCATTTTTTAAGGAATATATATCAAAATGAAACAAAAAATAAACATTATGTATGATTTAAAAAAATTAAAAGTTTAAATACTAAAACAAGATTAAAATGATAGTTTAAGTATTAAATTTGTAGTTTACCCTTATTTTAATTTTTTTAATTTTCAAATTTAGGGTAAATTATAAATTTTCTCACTAAACTTTACTCTCCCTATTTTGCTCACTATAATTTAAAAAGTTTCAATTTAATTGTTAAACTTGAAACAATTGAATTTTTTTTGTCATTCAACTTTTATTTTCTCTAATTTTATGCTGATTTGACACTTTTATTATTATTTTGAAATAACTTGACATACTTTTATTAATTTTTAATTATATAAGTATCAACTCGGATTTCAGTAATCGTTTTTCGTAAATCAATCACTACGCCGACTGTCATTGTTGACCGTCATTATACCTAAAATTTTTAGATCATCTATTTGATCCCATGAATTTAAATCTTAAAGAGAATTCAGTATGAATTTAAATCTTAAAGAGAATTCATTGTGTCGACCATTGCTTTGATTGTGCACAACCCATTTTCATCTCATACAAGTGAAACCCAGATCTTAGAACATATCTTACAATTACGCAACACATAAATCTAAAGCAAAAATTCAAATATAATTATGTAACTAAACAACTGTAAGGATAAAATTTAAAAGTACGATGAAAAAAATTGACAATAGTGAGGAATGCACTTTTAAATCAGTCACAATTAAGATATTTTATTCACAATTTTCACTTTAAAATTTTATCTAACATATATTTTTTTGGAATTAATCTGGGTAAGTACAAGATAATATTTATTTAAAGACAACTCTTAACATTTTTATATTAAACGTTTACACCCCTGACATTCATGATACACAAACCTGACATTCATAATACACAAACCTGAGAACTTAAAGAATCTGACATATATGTGAGTACTCATATTGAATATGTTATTATAAATGTACATAAAAATGTATATAAAAATATAATATATTTGTCTTTTACAAATATATATATATATATATATATATATTTGTCGAATATACTGAATTATATCAAACACTAATACGAATGTGAGCAATGCACGTTTAAGTTATTAGTAACTGTCACAAACTATCAATTAGTCTAGTAAAATGAGATATTAAATCTTATTTATATAATGAATTTTTATAATGTTTGATACGTACTAATAAATAAACTATAAATTAGATACTGATAATTAAACAAAAAATACTAATAATTATCTCTGTTTTCTTAATTCTTTCGATGGGTTTATTTTACAACAATATTTGATTCGAAACCTAAAAAATACTTAAATCGTACCTCTTAAAAAGGATGCAGTCCCAAGTGCAATACCATGAAAATAAAAGGTTGGCATATCTTTCAAAAATAAGTAAGGGAGAATCTCAAACATTTCAAGGAAATAATCAATGCTTTTATTTCTTTAAAAACAATTATAAAAATATTATAAATTTGTTATAATTTATATAATTCAACAATATTTTATGTAGTTTGTGTCTTTCAAATGAATAAATATCTTAAATATAAAATTTAAAATTATTTTATAAATATCAGATATTCTGAACTTGCAACTCAATGTAACATAAAATTTTGAATCTAAATTTTGTAACTTAAATGATCCCGGCTTAAGGGTCAACTTTGCCCCTATAGTAAATTCAATTTATCATTTTCGTTCCTATCGTATTTTCGCATCAATTTAGCCCTCAAAGTTGTTTAATTGTATCATTCTATTCTCTACCCCTAACTTAAAACCCTACATTAATAATCCTAAACCCTAAATCTTAAATCATAAACTTTAATCTCTAACTTAAAACCCTCAATTTAGGGTTTTAAGTGAGAGATAGAATATAAAATAATGCAATTGAGTAACTTCGAGGGTTAAATTGACGTGAAAATACGATATGTACAAAAGTGATAAATTAGATCTACAGGGGCTAAAATTACCCTTTTTCCAATGATCCCTAATCATTTTGTTGCTCACTCAAAGAATACGAGAATCAAATTTACTATAGTATATTAGTAATATTTTTTCTGTTTACTAGAAGACTTAATTTACTCATTATCGAAATTAAACAAAACCTCAATCTTTTCTCATAAACTTTTTTATTAACCACGATGTTATAAATATACGCATTACATATAATACCAGATGTTAAATGTAGCTATAATTAAAATAAAAAAGATGGTAAAAGATAAGAGAATTAACACGAACCAAGAGATCTCGGTAATAAAAGAATTTTTGTATGCAATTGAGTAACTTCGAGGGTTAAATTGACGTGAAAATACGATATGTACAAAAGTGAAAATTAGATCTACAGGGGCTAAAATTACCCTTTTCCAATGATCCCTAATCATTTTGTTGCTCACTCAAAGAATACGAGAATCAAATTTACTATAGTATATTAGTAATATTTTTTCTGTTTACTAGAAGGACTTAATTTATCATTATCGAATTAAACAAAATCTCAATCTTTTCTCATAACTTTTTTATTACCACGATGTTATAAATATACATTACATATAATACCAGATGAAATGTAGCTATAATTAAAATAAAAAAGATGGTAAAAGATAAGAGAATTAACACGAACAAGAGATCTCGGTATTAAAAGAATTTTTGTTATTTTTTGAGGTTCTGGATTCTAGCACAATGAATATCTGGGATGTGAACGTTTAATGTCAAATGGTTGAGAGTTATCTTTAAACAAATAGTCTTATTCTTATCCTAGATTAATAAAAAAATCAAATTTAGATTTAATTAACTATCATATATTAGTAATATTATTTTGTTTACCGGAAGACTCAATTTACTCACTGTTGAAATTAAATAAAACCTCCAAATCCTTTTATCAATCTTAACTTTTATCAGTTTTAAAATTAATTCATAATTTTTTTATTAACCATTATGTTATAAATATATGCATTTTCATATAATATCGAATCTTAAATATAGATATAATTAAAATAAAGGGTGGTGAGATCCACTGCAAGCTTAATCCCAGTAGATAGAGCTTGTGCCTCAACTATGCAGGAAGACAAGCAATTTGACACGGAAAAAGCCTGTCCAGAGACCACCAAGCCATGATCGTCGCGACCAACAGCGGCAGCCTGTAACAGTAGAAAAAGCTCCATCAACATTCACTGTTAATGGTGGTAAAATAAAAAGGTGGTAAAAGATAAGAAAAAAAGGAAGAGTACCTTATTTTCAAGATTTGAAGGAATCACAAAAGAAGAGTTTACAATTTTGGTTTTGTTTCGTGTTTGTCAATATGTGCTGATGAGTCGCTGATTCGATGCTGTTGTGGGGCTGAGTGGAGGCTATCGCACGCGCGTGGAGGGGGGATCATTGTGCGCTGTTGGCGTGGAGCAGGGAAGCAGCGAGGGACGAGGCGGCAGCATCTTCTTCATTTAGGATTAGGGTTTTCCTATCTTACAAACATATTGGGCTCCAAGTTTTGCATTTGGATTTGAGTAGTCTAAATTTGTGGATTTATAATAATATAGGGTTTTAATTTGGACTTTGGGTTTTAGTGTGCGAATTGTTTTGGACTTTTGACGAAAGAATTTGAGTTTCTAAATGATTTTGGCCCACAAATGTTTTAATTTGGACCTTAAATTCCCATCTAAGCAAAAATTGAAGCCCATCATTCATTGCCAGCATTTCTCCATGATTTTCCCTAATCCAATGCAACCGATCCAATATCAATTGTATTAATTTATACAATTTCGAATTGGTCTTTGATCCCCCTCAAATCTGATTTGGGATGTTCAGACAAAATCTGATTTGGGATGTTTAGACAAAATTAGGGTGTTAGAAAATTAAATTTTAATAAATTATTAATTTGAAATAAATCACTATACTTTTAATATTTACATAATAAGGACAATTTTTGTGTGGTTTATTTTGATACATAACTTTAGTGGTGTGTTGCTGTGTGTGACGTGCGTTGTAGACTCATTCCTAATCTGAATGTCAGCAATGCACGTTTAAGTTACTAGTAATTGTCACAAACAATTAATTAGTTTAGTGAAATGAGACACTAAATTTTATTTATATAATGAAATTTTGTAATATTTGTTTGGTACTGATAAATAAACTATAAATTAGATACTGATAATTAAACAAAAAAAATAATTATCTCTATTTTTTATTCGGTTCAGTTTACAAC